ATTTATTTATTTATTTATTTTTTATTTTGTCAATATACAATGTAGTTATTTATTGTGTCCCATCACCGAAACCTCCCTCCCTCCTCCCTCTCCCCCCCCCCCCCCCCCCGGTTTTTTTTTTTTTTTGTTGTTGTTGATGTTTGTTTGTTTTTGTGTGTGTGTGTGTGAGAGTGTGTGTGTGTGTATGTATGTGTGTGAATTGATTCATTCACCTTTAGCTCCCTCCAATAAGTGAAAACATGTGGTATTTCTTTTTCACTGCCTGACTCGTTTAAAAAACAATCATAGCTGAAGATGATTAAAATAATGGTCTTTTCTCTTTATCTAAAAATGAATTCCATTTAAAAATGAAATCCAGTGTGAACTTACTGTCAAGAAATACCCATTTTTATCTCCTAGAAATAGCATTACCTTTGGAGAATATGATTTTGTCAGTACAAATATTGCAAATAATAATGAAGTACTTTCATTATATAATGCTTATTCTTTACAAAGGACATATTCAGTTCACATTTGTTAGACATTAAGATTTGTTACATGGCTGCTATGTGTTGTGATGACTTTTAGCCTAGATCTATTATTATTACCATTTTATAGATGATGAATCTGAAGTTCAGAGAGGTTAATTTATTTCCCTAAGGTTATCTTAGTCAGGAATCAGGTGGAGCCAGGATTCAAAACTGTTGACATTGCCAAGTCCATTTTTCCCCCCATTATTATAATGCTGTCTCTAATAATATGGATGAGTAGGTTTTTTTCTTATTATTTATTTATAATGAACTTGAAGTCCAGAGAAACTATTTGCCCAAGTTCTCTCAAGCTGGTGAGTATCAGAGCAGGGACCAGAACCCAGTCCCTACTTCCTGGCAAGCTTTTTTTTATTTCCCTCTGTACCTTCCTATTTTCCAAATGATTGTGGGAGTTTAGTTTATTTCCCTACTTGTTTCATGTACAGTTGGACCTTTACTCCCTCAAATAGAAGATTCTAAAGAATGATAAATATTATTTTGAAGGGAAGAAATATTGTTCAAGAAGCTAAGTTGACCCTCAAGGCTCAATTGCTTTGGAGTGGTGTATGACAGCAGTGCATTTTCAGCTTGTGAATGAGGTTTTTTTCTTCTTCTTTTCTTTCTTTCTTTATTTTAACTTCTCAATATATATTGTAGTTGATTTTTGTGTCCCTTTACCTGTTCCTCTTTCCTCCCTCCCTCTCTCCCCTCCCCCTCTGCAGTATATCATATCTGTTTACTTGTCTTAACAAGTTCAAGTAATTGTGATTGTTGTGTCTTCTTCCCCCCCACCTTTTATTTGTTTGTATATTTGTTTATTTATTTATTTTTAGCTCCCACAAATAAGTGAGAACATGTGGTATTTCTCTTTCTGTGCCTGACTTGTTTCACTTAATATAATTTTCTCTAAGTCCATCCATGTTGTTGTGAATGGTAGTATTTCATTCTTTTTTATAGCAGAGTAGTATTCCATTGTGTAGATTAGTATTCCA